GTTCCTTCTCTTCTGGATGGCATCAGATGTTACCTAGGGCGTTCGGCTTCAACGTTGTTCGGCAAGGCAAGGATACAACACTTCCACTTATACTGTCACACAGTTTCAATTGCCTTACGATACACCTTTTTTATGCCCCAGCTCAATTCCCACAGGCATTGTCAGTTGTGACATCGAAACTCAGTGCTGACCACAATGTCTACATCTGGATGATGCGATTGCATTGAAGGGCATTCTGTGGGCTTCAATGTTGATGGACACTGTGGTACAGCAACTGGTGAGTCTGTGTGCTGCATTTGCTACGGAAGCGATGGGGGAGGGGCTTGATGATGGCAAATGTTGCTAAGTGATTGCGTTGTCACACGAAGTTGCTCATCATCGTCTCACACTCATTGACCCTGTTTGGGCGGTGACTTGATGTCTACTTTATTCTCTCCACTTCAGCAGTTGTTACTTTTCCTTGCTTGAATTCCTTCGCCTTCTTTTGTGTTTGTTCATTCACACACGCCAGCTTTGCCTTCCTATCCTTACTGCATCAACATCTACCCGCTTTTCTTTTTCAGCTAGGTCATGCTGCATGTTGCATAGGTGGTTTGGCTGTCGCAGTTTACATGGTGTGTCCTAGCCTGAGCATGATCCTTCACTTTCCACATTTGGTGGTTTTAGCAGTGGTGAATTGACGAAGGAATGACTCTGAGGTAATGCGTTTCTGTACTCCTAGCCGCATGCTCCAGCGTCTCATCTTTCATGCCTCATACAAAAGTGGCGGTAGAGGGAAGTCAGTGAGCAATGTCTTAGCTAAGTCGCACATTTTCCATGAATTAGTGCCATAGTTCACCCTACGTATTTTCTTACCCGACTTGTCTTTATTCCACTATTGTTAGCCAGACCTTTATACACATGTCTCTGCTCATTTCCTTCACCCTCCGCCTCCTCCTCCTCCTTCTCTCCCTTGTGCTTATTACTCAGACGGCGTGTGCACACTTCTTACCCTCCTCTCCTTCTACTCTCTCAGCCCTCACTTCTTCGTTGAGCACCGAGGAGGTATCCTTGCTGGACTATCGTGTCGGTGCACAACTAGCTACTGAACAAGCGTCTTGCTCTCCTACACATTTCAACGCCTCTCTCATGCCCTTGACATATGCAGCAGCAACAGTCGCTTCGCCACTGGAGGGCATAGGAAGGGGTCTTACGGCTACCAAAGCTTGCACATGGGTATGGCGGGATCTGTTGTCTTAAACTGCTTTCACATATAAACCACGCACACATCAATCCCACTT